CAACAGAGTACCTTTAGGAAAGTTCTAGGTTATCTGAAAAGTGACAGTAATAAACACTATAAGCTGTTTTTAATTACTGCCACTCTGATACACGTTAAAAATGTGCTGTCGTGGCTCAGGGAAAAGTAAATAGGTCTGGAAATAGTAATGGAGATAGAACTGGAGGGGCAGATGTGAGAAATACCAAAGAGAGAGACAAGACAGGACTTTATCAAGGTTTTGTTAATGAAGGTAAAGAAAAGTGATGATTTTCCATGGAGCAAATTTCTTGCTTGGACAACTGAGTGTTTGCATCCCATTCATTCATTTGTAAATATGTTGAGTTTCAGGTGTGTTCAAGACATCCAACTGGATATCCAGTAGGATTCTGAAGCCAATAAGGAAAGTCTAAGCCAGAAATAAAGATTTAGGAGATATCAGAATAGTATCAGAGTAGAAAAGTTCACATGAAGAAGAAAAAGATATTTCCAAATAAAATATATATTAAAATTTCTTGTGGTTTATAAGAAATATTCTTTGTTTTTGTTTTTTGTTTTTTGTGTCCAGTCGTGGGGCTGAACTCTGGGCCTGGGCGCTGTCCTTCAGCTCTTCAGTTCAAGGCCAGCACTCTACCACTTGAGCTACAGCGCCACTTCCAGCTTTTTTCTTTTTGCTTATGTGGTGCTGAGAAATCGAACCCAGGGCCTCATGCGTGCAAGGCAAGCGCTCTACCACTGAGCCACCTTCCCAGCCCTATAAGAAATATTCTTGATAGAGTGTAAGTTCCAAGTTTACATTATTTACCATTCAACTTTCGTTGACTAAAAAAGTACTTGACATGTAACTATTCCAAAGACAATTATCGGTGAACATCTTTTCTTTAGATTAAAATTATTTCACCATGGTTAATGTGGATTTAATTAATCAAACATTAAGTAATTATTTATAGATAAAATGTGTATTTTAATTTTTAGTTTTAAAACTTTACTAAATGCCTTGGCTTGGATGTGGTTACTAGTAAGTGACATCTTAGTCGAGTTCAAGTGTGGCTTAACGACTCCTTTTTTTTTTTTTAATCTCCTTTCCAGAAGCCTAGAATATAGATGCTACCCTATTTGTGCCTCCTCTTTCCTATTGATGAGCTTGGTTTGCCCCTTTCCCTTTCTCTCACATAACTGGAATGCTTTAGGCAGTCATCCTGCTCATTCTGTGGCCTTTTGTCCTACAGTCTTAGGTCAGTCAGGCAGTGTGAGCTCTAGAATTTCTATATCGAAGAATGAGATAGTGGCAGTATGTCTGACTAGAGGAGAGGTGTCTGTTGCTTTAGAATTTCAGAAACATTCTTTTGCATTCCACTCAAGTTAAATATTCTAACACTCAACTACTATTATATCACTGTTTCACTATGTTCATTACATTTATCAGCATTCACGTTTATATATCTCTTAGCCCTCTTAGTCTTTCTTCACTTAATCAGATAATTCAGGTCAGATTCCATGTCTACATTTTCTCATTAACAACCAGCTTCACTTGCATGTTACTCACTTGAATAGTAGGAACAAGATCCATATTTATACACACACACACACACACACACACACACACACATATGCTCACTCATTCTTACTTCATTCTTTATCTGTGGTTCTATAAGACTGTCTTGGTATAATTATTTTATTTTATTTATTTATTTTTTTGGGGGTCCGGTCGTGGGGCCTGAACTCTGGGCCTGGGCGCTGTCCCTCAGCTCTTCAGCTCAAGGCTAGCACTCTACCACTTGAGCCACAGCGCCACTTCCGGCTTTTTTTCTTTTTGCTTATGTGGTGCTGGGGAATCGAACCGAGGGCCTCATGCATGCAAGGCAAGAGCTCTACCACTGCGCCACCTTCCCAGCCCGGTATAATTATTTTAATATTCTTTTTATAAAGCTAAATCAAGATCTAGAAATAGCCAGGCACCAGTGGCTCATGCCTACAATCCTAGCTACTCAGGAGGCTGAGATCCTTGGACAGAGGTTTGAAACCAGCCAGGCAGGAAGGTCCAGGAGACTGTTATCTCCAATTAATCACCAGAAAACCAGAAGTGACACTGTGTCTCAAAGTGTTAAGACCACTAGAGTGCAAAAGCTCACGCACAGCACCTAGGCCCTGATTTCAAGCCCGATGGTAGACAAAGTAATTTTTTTTGTTGTTGTTGTTGGTTGTGGGGCCTGAACTCTGGGCCTGGGCTCTGTCCCTCAGCTCTTCAGTTTAAGGCTAGTGCTCTACCACTTGAGCCACAGCACCACTTCTGGCTTTTTTTCTGCTTATGTGGTGCTGAGGAATCGAACCCAGGGCCTCATGCATGCAAGGCAAGCAATCTACCACTGAGCCACTTTCCCAGCCCGAACAAAATAATTTTTAAAAAAAAGATTTAGAAACACTATTGAGTACAACTGTATCATTTCTTAATCCCTGCCTTTCTCGACCATTTTGATTTTATACCCATTCCACATCACAGTAGCACTGTATCTGTCCTGCATTGTATGTGATAAAACAAGAAAAAATCCAGAATATCACCCCCATTAAAGAACCAACAAGACAGTAAAGGAATGCTGCTTTATATCATTTATGTTATCAATACAAAAAAGGTTGTACTTTGTAAGTGAATATTTTTCCTATAGCCTCAATATAAATAAAAACACAAAGTACATAGAAATCCAAGAACCTGAGAGTTGGGCTAAATACTTAAACCCAGCATTTACTGTGGATTCTCTGCTGATGATAAGGGCCACATTTTTGATTTAGCATTTTATTTTAATCAGAGTTCTGCCATGTTCACTCTCTCTCAGTAAATGGTAAACAGGATTATGGTTATTAAAAGATAGATTTTCAGGCCAGAATAACTTGTGATAAATTGTCATTTACTTCTTTAAGCTTTAAATTGCTATTGAGAACATAAAAATTATCTTTTCTTATAAATGGACTGTATATACAGCTAGAATCTTTTGTTTCTTCCTTTAAAGAGGTGACACTTACTTTGGGATTTCAATATTTTTCCTTCAGAAGAACATATATAACATTTTTACTACACAGAAACTGGGGAATCTGTACTTTCATATCATCTTCCAGAGTTGGAAGTTTTTGCTACAGATCCAAGTATCAGGATAATGCACAAATTTTAAAGCAGTAAAACAGAAAAGAATGTGGATCATGTCCAGGTACCATGGTTGGCATGATGGGTAATACAGAAGACTAGGCTTAAGTCTCCATCCTTTCACATTGGCTCTCTCCCACAAATACCTATAGTATAATCACTCTTCATCACCTCCATCTCACGTTTTATTATCTTGGTTGAGGACCCTATACTCTTCTATCTGAGCTATAATGACAGCCTTCTAACTAACTTACTGTTCTTTAGGCCTGGCAAGTAGATTCCTACCTCAAAGGTATCTAGAACAGCACCCAACACACAGTAGGTAATCAATAAATGTGTGCTGAATGATGTTGATTAACCATTCACTTTAAATAATAACACAAGGCAATGAGACAGTAATCATTCAAAATGTTTCACAGTATTTCTCCATATATATATATATATATATATATATATATATATATATATCATTACTGGGATAGCTCTTCTGAAATATGTATGCCTAGACTTTCCCATAACACCTAGCATGTTTCCAGGTAGGATCCTAAGCACATGTATGTTTAAACAGCATTCCATGCAATTCTATTGTTTTTTAAAAGATTGTGGTAAAGTATATGTAACATAAATGTGTCCACTCTAACCACTTCCCATTCTACTTTGTACCCTAGTTTAAACTACTGGCACAAAGTACATCACATCAGCTTAGAGAGAGTAACTGAAAAATTTACAAAACAATAAAAACTCCATGTTGTATTAGAACGATCATGGGTTTTGGTGGTAACTTGTTATCATTTTGTTAGATAGGAGATGAGGACAGAGTTACTCAAACTCTTAAGTTTCCAAACATAAAATGAAGATGATTTTTATACCTATCTCCTATATCCACTGTAAACTGCTCAAAAGATTATCTAACTAAAATGAAGTCAAGCAAATAAAGATTCTACATTGGTGCACGTAGCAGTCAATAAATTTCAGCCTACTGGAATTACTTTCATTGAAATAATATAATGGTGGGAAACATAAAAAGTCTGTGTAATTCTGACATAGAGGCTAGAAAAATGTCTCCTCCATTTCCAACGTGGTAGGTAAGAATGAAATTTGTTTGGTGTTGCTTAGCTATGAGCATTCTTCAGAATTCTGGCAGGCTCCTTTAAAAGACAGACTCCTGAGCCCACTGGAGTATCACATTCAGTAAGTCTAGGATGGGACTGATAATCTTCATTCTAACAAGTTTCCAGAAGATGTCAGAAGCTGATGCTGTTTAGGAGTTATCAGAGAGGTAAAGAAAGTATACACATCCTTTGTAACAAAGCCTCTGAGTCCATTAATTCCTTCAGTATGAAAAGTTAAAATAAGAAACCATAAATAGCTCACTTTTTACAAAAGTTATACCAGTAACTTGCTTTTAAAGAGTTTTTTTTTAATTTTACAATTTGATTTTTTTAAATCAACTATGTATTAAACTTTGAGTAACAGTGAAGTTTCATGCTATTGCTGTTCCAATGAAAAATGCTCTAAAAATTAATTCAAAGATAAGGTTGATTCTTCTTAAAATATTCTTTGTATTTTTGTGTGTGCCACTACTGGGGCCAGAACTCAGGGCCTGGGTGCTTATCCCTTAGCTTTTACACTCAAGACTGGCACTCTACCACTTGAATCACAGTTTGACTACTGGATTTTTGGTGGTTAATTGGAGATTAAAAAGTCCCACAGACTTTCCTTCCTAAGTAGCTAGGATTACAGGTGTGAGCCACTGGCACCTGGCAGAATACTCTGTTTCAGTTAAAATCTAGATAAAAAATGAGACATGACAATTTAAAGGAATAAATGGAGGTACAATTTTTGCTGAGTAGGTGGCATACAAGAGTACTAAACAGAGTACTTACAGGTGTGGAGGCATTCTGTCACTGTGGTTGGCTTGATAAGATACCCTTTGCAGATATAGCAGGTAATGTAAGGATTGAAATCTTTCACCAAGTGTTTCCTTTGGGTAGCCATTCGAGGTTAACTGGCTTCAATAGTTCAGGCAAAGAGTGGTAGGTATTAAGTGGATGAAAGTCTGGTCCCAGGAGACGATGTCGTGTTCCCAATAGGATGTCTTGAGGCATGAGAACTAACATCCAGATTTATCATGAGATCAAGGATCATCACTTCTTTGGCTGGTTCTGCTCTTCCATATCTGTTCCACAAACCTTTTTTTTAAAAAAATGAGAGAAAAAGTGTCAAATTCTTCATTATGTATGTCCAAAATTGGGTGAATAAAACATATATTTTACTGTATAATTAACTCAGAATAATGACAAATTCATCCAATCCTGGAGCCTTAACAATCGGTTCCACACTAAAGATAGGCCAGAGCTATCAATTTCAGTTTCATCTCTTTACTAATAATGTTAAAAAAATAGTTAAAAATGCATTATTAGTAAAGAGATCAATCTCCTTGATTGCTCTATTAGGAATTCCTTCCAACAAAAGTTAAAAAAATTGAAAACTTTCCTTCCTATCTAAACGTCCCTATTTCTGTTCTGTACTCTAATAGTTAATAGCTAAATCAAGATTTTTTTTCTATTACATGCATATTACCTCACCACCTACAACCCAGGTTTGTTTTCAAAGAGTGTCAGTGTCTCCTCCTTACAAACAGAAAACCTTTTTAAGTTTGTCAGCTGTCACATAAGTTACAACTCTACACAGAGAATGACCTTAACACATCTTTCTTGAAGGAAATTGGGGGAATCGCTGCCCTCACATCATTAGCTCTCCTACTCAGTAAGCCCCTCCTCTCCTATGGCAGCAACATACCCAGCCTCAGAACCCTCCTCCAATGCTATCCTCTATACCCTGTTCCTCCTTCTATAACTTTGCACTCTATTACGTTTTCTTTTCATTTTGATTTATAGTTATATCCATTCTTAATCTCCACTATTAGAATGAAAAATGCTCAATAGAAACTGGTCATATTTAGTAGATATATAATCTAGGCAGTGTTATCCTCTTCTGTATCTTTTTTTTCCCCGTCTTTTTAAACTGCAAAATGAAAAAGCCAGCTCCTACAGTGGTGAGGATTCACTGAGAATATACACACAAGGCTAGCACACAATAACACTGGATAAATGTCATCATTTTCTCACAACTTTTAACACAGGACACACACCTATGTGTATACATACACATACACATAGACATGTACACACGTTTCTAGAGTTTCTTACAAAGGAGGTTCCCTGTCAGAAAAGAAAGAAATCGCTGATCTCCCCAAGTTCACTCTACAAACAGAACACTCCTCTCCGTTGGAGCGATGAACTCCTGAGCGAGTATAAAGTAACCGGAAAAGTAAAAGGCGTCATTCCATCAGCACACACTCTCTGTGATAGGCTCTGCGGGTAAACCTCTACCGTGCTGAGGGAGGAACCGGGAGGTCGGGGCCCTGGGTTCTGCCTGACCTTCAGGGAAGCAACTTGCTAGGGCTCCCGACTGTCCCGAGGGCTTGCCAGGAAGCTCCCAAGTAGGAGCAAGTCCCCGGGAAGAGGAAGAGGCAGGGTCCGCCCAGGCTGTGCTCAGACCCCGGGGCAGAGCGCGGCGGGGTCACCCAGCCGGCGAGGGAACTTTTCTGGGTGCACCGACCCTCCCGCTCGCCGGCTCCGCAGGTGCCCGGCCCGCGGCCCCGGGAATCCCAGCTCGGGCCCGGCGGGAGCGGGCCGCCCCTCTCCCTTGGCCGAAGCCCCCAGGGCCCGTCTCCGAAGCGCGCCGGGTCTAACTCCAGGCGGGTGGGGCCCCCAGCAGGTGCTGAGGTGAGGCTCCCGCCCACGGAGCACATTTGGGCGGGGAGCTCGGGCCCCCGAGTCCCGGACCCTCCCCGGCCCTGCCGGTACCTACCCAGCGGCCACAACCGCCGCTCCTAGCCCGCCAGCGCTCCGGCCGCCCAAGGAAGGAAAGTGAAAGAGAAACAGCGCCCGCCGCGGCCTGGCCGGTCCCCGAGCCCCGTCCGCCCTCGTCCGCCCTCCCCCGGCCGGCGGGAGCACGCCGCTCAGCTCCGCTCCGCAGGGCCACTGGGCTCGGCCCGATAGGGCGCGCCGGGCCTCGGGGCCCAGGGCCGGTGCCGCCTCCAAGGGCAACTCCACCCCCTTCAAAACGGCCAGCCCTGAGGAAGGGAGGCCCCGCCCAGCGCAGGCCACACCCACCCGGCCCCGCCCGCAGGCCGCGCCCCGCCCCGCCCCGCCCCGCCCCCCCAGCTTCTCGCAGGTGCCCGGGCCACCCAGTTGCTACTTCTCTGAGACTTGTACGTTTGGTCAAATTTTATCTCAGTTCTTATCCAAGTCTCCTCCTCCTCCTCATTTTTTCATCACAATGACCGGTATGTTTTCCAGGCAATGGTCAGTGTGGAGACTGAGTCACCCTATAAACTTTTCTTCTGCATCTTTCTCCAATCAGTCCCCACCCAGCAGCAAATATCCCTTGAATTATACTGAATTAAAAACAAAACACCCCCAAACCACTAGCTAACTTGTTGCTGTAGGGTAGGTCCGGTGATCAAGATCATTGCCAACTAAAAATAAATAGGAATATTGTGGGGATAGGGTTGATGGGGAGAGGCTCAAAACAAACCAACACCAACATACTCTTTCTAGTGGACTGTGAGTTTGACAAGGGACCACACACTGCAAAAAGACTCCATTTAAAGACCTGCATCAAGGAGTTCACATTTAATCCTAGACTACTATGTTCTACAAACAAATTTCTACTACAACCATGACTTTGCAAAATAACAAATTAGACCTGGTTTTGACTTCTTAGAAGATCGCAATCTAGTAATCAATGTAGTCTTTGCTAATGAAACACAAAAGGAGCATTCAAAAAAAAGTTGCTAAGGGTGGCTATAGAATTCAGTTAATACAAAGTATTTGCTTTTCCTCATACTGATAGAAGTCACCTTCTTGCTAGAGTAACAGATTGTGAAGATAAGTCTAGTGGTAAGTTAACAAAACTAACTACCATTGCATTCATGGTGGCTGCATCTGCAGTGGTATCCAGGGATACATTACAAAATTAAAAGGTACCAAAAGTAGATCAAAAGTTTTAAAACCTATCCATTTTATAATTAAGCTTATGTAAAGTAGACATAGTAAAACATATCAATTTAACATCACAGCAGAACAATACATTTTCTAAAACAGCTTTAAATGATCATATTTTATAGCCCCTTTAAGAACCATTTTGCAATATTATTATATATGTTAATTTTCAAGCTGGGATTAACTTCAATAAGACAGCAATCACGATAAGTAAAAGGAAACAAGTTAAATAACTTTTATAGTAGAAGGAGATATCATGTTTTTTTCACTATCTACATGAAAAGACATTAAGAGTTATTTTACATGTGACAAGAGAGCCAATTTCTGGTGTACTTAAAACATGCAATGGAGATCTTATTTTATACACTGCAACACATACAAAATAAAATGACTCAGTATGTATCTATTTAGTGTCTGAACCTATTTGAACTGCATTTTTAAAGAATAACAGTTCCTGAAATTGAAGAGGGAATGAATGTTATTGGTAATCAATGGTAGGTGTAGGAATGACAGGAGAGCAGATATTAGGACATACGTTTCTATGGAGAGAAGAAGCATAAATATGCTATAGAGCAGTACCTGAGACTGAAGATGAAGGTGTTGTTGCTGAAATGAACTGTGTGTATATACATATGAACGTATGTATGCATGTGTGTACATACATACACGTGTATGTACATGTCTTTTGTGTTGTTGACTACAGGCAGTGTAGTTTGTCAAGAAATGTTCTGTGACATTTCCTCTTCAGCCACCACTTTACTTCTACTTCAAAAATAAAAATGCATGTGCGTACACATAAAGATAATTCATAAAAACCTCAAACATTTGTTCAATTAAGAAAAAAATGCTCGACAAGAAATGTATTCATTACCTTACTGATGTAACTGTAACCTCTCTGTACAGCATCTTTACAAGAAAATAAAATTTAAAAAACATTTTAAAAAAAGAAAATAACAAAAGCAACAGAGGGAGGAAATACAGAAGGACAGCTTCCCTGAGTTATGTGTCTGTCTTAAGTATTCAGGCATGGAACTTTCAGCTGCTCCTTCTCTCTCCCTCTTCCTCTCTTCTCCCCTCCCCCAATCTTCCTCCCTCTATGGAGGCTGCTCCTCTATCCCTTGGGTCTGCTAATTAGGGCAAGAAATAAACCTCAGAAATCTCAATATGAAGGGTGGCTCTGAAAACATACCTCAAGTATAGTGGCACTTTGAAGCAAGCAAAGTCTTGAATAACTAGATGTCGAAGACCAGGTAAAAGGAAAAGGCAGGGTGAAAGAAACATAGCTGGAGACCCATTAGCAATTACCTGTCTTAGCCTTTGCATCTACAGATGCAGAAACCAAGACTCTGTGAATAGCAAATTCCTAATCACAGAGCTGAATTTGGCAGAACCAACATCAAAGCAAACATTTCAGTTCAGTTTAATTTACACCTGTCATGATAACTCAAGTGTGCACATTTAAGAGAGGTCTAGTAAAATGAAACAAAACAGGGTAGCTTTAAAACAAAAACAAACTGAAAAGGGAGAGAATAGATGAAGGTAGGGGATGCCTGGATGGTATTTAGATGTGATAGTCACTAGTGATTTCCCTTTCATTTGATTGTTAGCCCAGATACTCTTCCAAGGAACTAGAAGAGGTTCTTAATGGGAACTATTCAGAGTTATCTGCATATCTAGCCAATGCTTTCATTATTTTATGTTTTAGTCTAGATTTTTATTTCAGTCAAGGCTGGACAACTGATGGGTAATTCTATATTGAAAAGTTCACTTTCCTTCCTTAATAAATGTATCATCGATTAATTGGCTTTAATGGTATAACTTACTTGTAAAATGGGGTGTGTTTATATTTCCAAGAAATGTTGAATAAGACGGCTTTGTATGATAAATAATTTTATATACCAAAATATGCCGATTAATCCTTTAAAATGGAGTATATTTTCTTTTTTGCCAGTAGCTGGGTTTGAACCCAGAGCCTTGATTACCTTGCTTGGCTGTGCTTTATCAGTTGATCTCACTGCCAGCCTAAGATTTTGCTGCTTATCTTGAAGATGGAGTCCCACGGATTTTTCTGTCTAGGCTGGCTTTGAGTCATCATATCCTGAGTAGCTAGGAAGACAGGC